GAGAAAGACAGAGAGAAGAGAGAGACAGAGACAGAGAGAGACAGAGACAGAGAGAGACAGAGAGAAGAGAGAGAAAGAGAGATAGAGAGAAAAAGACAGAGAGACAGAGACAAGAGAAAGAAATGGATAGGAGACAGAAAGAGACAGAGAGAAGAGAGAGACAGAGACAGAGAGAAGAGAGAGACAGAGACAGAGAGACAGAGACAGAGAGAGACAGAGAGACAGAGACAGAGAGACAGAGAAAGACAGAGAGAAGAGAGAGACAAAGAGAGACAGAGAGGAGAGACAGAGACAAGAAAGAGACAGAGGGACAGAGAGAGACAGAGAGAAGAGAGAGAAAGAGACAGATACAGAGAGAGACAGAGACAGAGAGACAGAGAGAGATAGAGAGACAAAGACAGAGAGAGAGAGAGAGAGAGACAAGAGACAGAGAGAGACAGAGATAGACAGAGAGATAGAGACAGAGAGAGACAGAGACAAGAGAGAGACAGAGAGCCCCACCACCTGAAGGGAATGAGGAGAGGCTTTCATCTCGGGAGGCAGCCCCTAACTGGCCACTATGCCCGGGCTATCGATAAGGTACGCACCCCAATACTCACACATCATGTTGACTAACTTGTCAGCGCTATGCTGCTCTTCTCCGTATCCGAGGTACCCGTCTGCTACAATCTCCATGTACTGCAAGTAAGGCCAAACACAAAAAAAGGTTTCAGAAAAACTCTCAAAAGGGCGAGCTGAACTTCTCCACATGGACTGTAGGTGGTGCCCCATAGTCACAAACCAGTTCCCAAGGCCCTCCAGCCGCACCTGACAGACAAGCAAAAAAGAAATGTTTCTCCTCAAGTCCCTGCCCTCTGTTGAGATCACAGGGTCACCGACTCAGAGCTAGACCTTAGAAAGCATCTAGTTTGTTTCTACCATTTTACAGATGAGGAGACTGAGGCCTACAGAGGTGGATCCCCTTGTCCACATTCACCAGCAGTAAGTAGCACAGCGGGGATTTGAACCCAGGACCCTGACTCCAAATCCAGGGTTTTCTACCAAACATCATCCGTGTCTCTCCACTCTACAAAATGTGCTAAAATTCACAGCAGCCATGGAGCCTCAAAATCCAGGTCTAATGTCACTACATCAGGTGTTGGTCATGAACTGAGCAGAGAGAGGTAGAGGGCCTGACATCAGAACAGGATGAATGAGCGCACACACATGGATATCCAGCACATGAAATAGGCTCTATCACAGTTTACAATGTGGGGGTTATTTATATTCTCCAAATTCCTACACTGACCAGACACTTATAAAGAGTCAGGAAGATGTGAGTTCAAATCCTACTTCAAGATCCTTAGATGAGCTTTGTCACTCTGGGCGAGTTCACCTCTGTGGGTCTCAGTTTCCTCATCTGTAAAATGGGGCATCTCCTTCCCAAGGTCATTGTGAGGATGAAATGAGACAAAGTATTTTGACTGATTATATTGTTCCGTGATGACCAAAATCACATGCAACACTGTCTATGCTATGAAATGAATTTCCAAACATAGTGAACTGCAATTTTGGTATTCTGGTTAACTTGATATTCTGCATCCCTGAGAGGGTTATGGCCAAAGAATTCTAATAAAATACACTTAATGCTAATACTCTGCTGAACGTGGGGGGTTCAGAAGGCCATCGGTGATAACTGAACAACATACTTGGGGTAGGAAATTTCAGAGACTGGGCTACAACGGGCTTGACGGGGATTCCCAGGCCTGGGAATTTTATTTGTTTACTAGTTTGTTTTTAATCAATACAGGACACAGGGCCTAGCGAAAAGCATTTGCCTTCTTACCCTCCCCTCAATAAGCACACAAGTTATAAACTCAAACTGCATGATGCCACATTTCATTGTTGATTGTTTCATATTATAATTACTCATTATTGTTGCGTAAAGAACCAGTGCCACCTTTACAAACTTGGGGATTTTGTTGTTTTTTTTTTTAATTTTTATTTTTCTCAGATCCCATTTGTGTTGAGGAAATAAATGGGGAGCCAACCTGACCAGGCTGCCTCATATTTCTTCCCTTGACTAAACTAAATTACACATGACCTTTCATACCCTTTCTAATTTCAGCTGGCAGGCTCTTTTCAATCCAGTTAACCAGAACAAAAAGTGCTGGGTGTTGGCCTCCATCAGAAGGAGCCTGGTGGCTTTACTTTTCTGCATGACTGTGAGCCACACCTGCTGCCCTGTGGGCAGCCAGGGGGATGAATCCACCCTGCTCTCCAGGACATATCACCAGAAGCATTCTTTTCTTAGGTGTTTACTGACCACCTGCCCCCGAGGTGAACACCAAACCACAAAGGAATAACAAGAACAAGGAAAGGTCTCTTACCTGGGCGAGGTTTTCAATTCCACCCAAGTTATGGAGTATTTCCTAATAAAAGTAAAAAAAAAAATAATAATATTAACTTTCATGAGGAATAGAAACCATTTTCAAAGGTCACCCAGGGAAAGGGGAGGCATAATTCATGCCCTTCACTGTGCTGTGTTTTGTGCATTACAATATGAATATGAAAAAACCCAGCTGTGTATTAACAGCATCACAGGGAAGAGAAATGATTAAGGGATGACATGCTATGATGAAGGGAAGGGAATATATCTTCCCAAAGCAGAGCTTACACTACCATTCTGCTTACTCAACTTGATCAGAATAGCAATATTATTTTAAAATAATGTCTTTTAAAAAAATCTAAGGTGAAAGGATGTCAAAAAGAGTGTCCTGCTATTTCATACAAACTGTCAAGTAACACACACATCTTAAAGTTAAGGATTTTCCCTGACCTTCTAAAACTGGCCAAAACGTTGTGGCATTTAAGAATGCAAGGAGCAGTTAATGCAATATTTGAGGTAGAAAAATAAGGAAGGAGAGAAATAGCTGGGAAATGTTGCCGTCATGTTTATAAATAATCTGCCTAATTACAGAATTAACAACAGCACAATTCACTCTAATTTTAATTCTTTAAAAAGCAGTCACAAAAGGTTCTTGGCTAGGAATGGAGTGTACTTTGGAAGGGCTGGTAAAAACAATAACAACAACAACTCTTCTTCCTAATGCCTTGTAAAGGCTTAAGTATTAGTATTAACGGCCTTTTTCTGGTAGTGTAATCTCTGCTTTGGGGAGGAAGATATATTCCCTTGCCCTCATCATAACAAGCCTTCCCTGTGATGCTGATAATACACACCTGGGGTTTTTTCATATTCATATTCTAATATACAAAAACCAACACAACGTAAAGTGCTGAAAAAGACTTGAAATGGAACAAGGAGACAGATGGAGACATTGGCCAACCCAGATCTGGTACCACAGAGAGGAACGACAGGGGACCAGTAACGAACAAGAGATAAATTCAAGAAGAGAGCTGTCAATGAAACCCAGGATGTCAGACGTCTATTTGCAAATACACAAAATGCCAGTCATAAACAGACAGCCTATCGCAAAAAGACAAATTTGGCCCCAAACTGAGCCTTTGCAGGATGAGAATCAAGACTAAAATTTTATTCAGGAAGATTATATTTTATTCAAAAGAATAGAATTGCTAAAGCCCCTGGAGAATAGCATCGTGTATTAAAGATATATTCATATGAGGAGATCCAGGAACCTGAAGAAAGAGACAGCATTTGGGTAAGGAACAATGGAGTTAGAAAAAGAAGTAATGTTGTCCTAGGAGTAGTAGACTATAAGACCGCCCAGACAGAAGAAGGAATCAAATAAAACCAAGACGAATTTGGTAATTAGAGACAAATCTGGCACAGAAACATGACGAAATAAGTGGTTGTTGAATGAATGAATTGTAATAATAAGGGACTTCAACCATCTGGCTAGTTTCTAGAGCTCTCTCTGCTGAAAGCAGAGTAGTAGATAAATTTGTGACTTGACTTAAGGACAATTTCATCCTTTGATGGTAGAAGAAGTGACAAGGGAAATTTACTCTGGGCTTGATTATGAGGAAAGAGACAGAGAGAGAGAGAGAGAGAGAGAGAGAGAGAACTGGTTGCTGAAGCATCTGGATTCTTGGGACAAATGACTGTTCCATCATGGAGGTCATGATAGAGAAGGAAAGCCAAGCATAATCTGACATACACCTTGGCACAGAGGATAGAAGAGAAGGCTTGCAGTGAGGATTTGGCTTCAAATCCTACTTCTGACAACTGTGTGACCCTGGGCAAGACCCCAAGTCATGGGTTTCCTCAAGGTAAAACAGGACCAAGGATACATGTGGCCCCTATCTCACAGGGTTTTTGTGAGGCTTTACTAAGCTTAGAGCCCTATATAAACATCAATTGTCATCTCTGTTGTTATTTGTGAAAAGAAGGTGTCAAAGAATCCAGAGAAGGGGTAGGTAACATGAAGGAACTTTCTGTAGGAAAAGTTAGCTGAGACAGATAGAAGTCTTTCAAGAAAGAAATTCTGAAAACACAAGAAGAAATTATTCTAATGAACAGGGAAAAGAGGATGCAGGAAGAAAGCCTAGCAGAGAAGATGGACATAAAGGATGGTCACAGAAGAGCAGCCTGGCCCTGTAAGAATGACATCAGGAATACTCAGGCCCAGGACAAGCCCAGGCTGGGCTTTATCTTGTCTTTTGCTTGTTTGTTTTTGTTCCATTTTTTAAAGAAACATGGGAGGTAACAGAAGGCTCCACGAAGGGTCGGAGCCGTAACTCAAGATGGATGGAGATGATGATAACGTTGAGAAGATTGCTTTCTGATTCAATGATAATGTGAATAATGGAATGCCGATGTTTAGCAGGGAGCAGAAACACAAGACAAGGAAATGATTCAGCAGTCTCCAGCTGCCCTTAAAGACCTCAAGCCACCAGGCAAGATGAGTAACATCCCAGGGGAGGGAAGGAACCGGCAGAGGCAAGTGCTGAGCTGCGGCAGATAAGGGAGGGTGGGAAACGTGCCCCAGGACCAGCAAATGACCAAGTTCAAAAAGGGAAGAGGGCAGACCCTGCAAACCATGACTGGACTTCTACTTCTGGAAAAATTCTGGACCATGTGGTCAAAGGAATTGTTTGCAAGTTGGCTCTGATCCTGCCAATCTCACCTTGAGCAGGACCACAGGGACAGGGAAATAACTTACTTCTTTTGTGTGAAGTGAATTCCCAGAGCACCAGACATGTCCATAGTTAAATATAAATACAAAAACACATTCCAAAGTCAAGTAAAAATGACCTTTTTGAGTTGTCTGGCATTTTGGATTACTGGCATCTTCACATTTAAGTCCCTTGAGTTCAGGGGCAATTTCATTTCTGCCTGCAGCCCCAGTGCCTGGTACACAGTAGATGCCTAATAAATGCTCACTGATTGACTTGTTGATTTATAATAGCAATCCTATATGCGATGGTCTTTGAACCATAGCCATGGTTTTATCTATGCTACAATAAAATAAACAACTCCAAAATTCTGTGATTCTATGGTTAAATTCATGAAGAAAAAAATGCTGTGCCCTATTCTTGTTCTAATATTTTACTTAGTATTCTAATAAATAGGGCACATCCAAAATGAGACTCGACTGCAAACAAAATTCATCCTCTGAAGTACGGGGGAAACTGACTCCACAGAGGCTGCATGGTCCAGCTGGGCACATGAGCACGTCTTCTTGACTCAAGCACCAAACAAGTTTAACAGATGATGCATCCTCACTCGGCCATGAAGGGCTTAATCCCAGGATGCCGTGCAGAACCATCACGGTAGTCTGAACTGGTAAGCCTGAAGAAGACTGAGGGAGGGCAAGTGTGAGATGCTAACAACAAAGTCTGGGATGAATAACCCTTCCTCAGGTGTCTGGAACCTTGTCTGCCCCTCCTGGCCACAGATGGCGGGGAGCCATCTCATGTAAATGCTGTCATTTCAAAAATACAAATTTATAATAGTTAAAAGCTGACTGAAAGGAGATTAAAAAGATAGTCAGATAGTTATACAAATGGGCCTGATGTTGGCATGAATCAGGACAGGAGATGCCAGATGAAGGGGACTAAGACAGGAGAAGAAATCAACCTAATATGGGATAAGCAAAGGGCACAGAGGATAAAATTAATCAAAAACAGAAATTCACAGCTCAGCAGCTTGAGGAATTTGGAGTAGGCTAAGGGCCTAAGGGAAAAAAAGCCATGCCCAAAAGAGTGGGCATGAAAGCAGGGAGGATCAGGGGACCAGTCTGGACATCAATAGGGTATGGAGAGCGAGGTTTGGTGATGGACCTGAACGCAACCCAAAAGAATCTTCTTTCCTTTCTCAAGGACCCAGGGCAAAGAAGGAAAGCCTAGCTGGTCAGGGGGTAAGAAGGGCAGGGATGAGGGTGGAAAAGAGCCATAACTGTACAAGGTTCTAGATAAAGTCAGACTCTGTTGACACTAAGGATGAGAGCTACCCTCTGGTCCCAGCGTCAACGGGAAATAGGCAGAACCCTCTTTTCTATTCATAGACACCCAGTGGCCATCACGGGGAACTTCTGGATTGAGGAAACCTTTGATTTTTTTGTCACAGGCACAACAATTCTTGTGGTCATTTTATTGCCACAGATTTGTACTCTTTAGCAAGGACAATGCCTAATCCTACACCAATCTGCTAAAATCAAGAAGTCTGATTAAGACAGCCAGCATCTACTTTGGGAAACCAGCCAATAAAGTCTGGCACCAACATGTCATCAGCCGGTTACAACAAAGACAACTTCTCTATCCAGGGAATGCCGTGTTTGACCTCCCTTGGGGCAGTTTGGATGGCCTACTACTTAGGCAGCAGACTAGAGAGGAGTATTCTAGGCCATCTATTTAACATGATTACCAACCATGGAAGACCACCACAACCTATGAGGAAGGAAAATTGTGGCTCACCCAAAGGGCAAGGAATAACACGTGGTGGGCATAAGTTATTACAGAATATTATACATGATGAATCGTGTGAGTGAAGAGACAAAAAAGAGACCATCAAAGAGATATGGACAAGAGATGAACAGGATGAGAAGGAGGTGGCTGGGTTATGGCCCGTCCTGGCGGAAGGAAGAAACACCTCTAGAAGATAGGAGATGCACTACAGCATTAAAAGACAGAAAAGAGTAATGAGGGCTCCTCTTTGGTCCCAAAGTCTAACCACCTAAAGGAGGATCCCCTCGATACCTTTGGTGGTGGTGGCACAAAGTTCCCCCCAAAGCATGAGGAAACATGTATATGGGGTTGTCTTTGCTGATAATCCATAACTTTTCATCAAATTAGAGAGGGTAAGATCTACCGGGACCTACCACTGATGTCACCTCTAGTTTCTCAAGCAATCTGATCAATATCAATTCAATTAAACATTTATTAAGAGCCTACTAAATGCAAGGCCCTGTGAACACATACATGACACAGGCTCTGACTGACCTCCAGGAGCTTATACCTCAAGCAGGTTAAGAGGAAGGTGGTATTAGGCACCTGCGTGCAAATCCTTCTACGGCCCAACTAAAGTGAGCGTGACCCTCCGGCAGCAAAGGGGAGAGGGGAGGAGGGGCTGACCAACAGCAGCTCCAATGGGGGTGGCAACGAAGGTAGAGATGTCAGCAGGGTCACAGAAGCTGACCTGACAAGACTCAGCAGCAGGTGGGATGGGGTAGATGAGGAAGAGAGCAGCGTCAAAGAGGACCCCAACCCTCTCGAGAGCTGGGAGGGTGGGTCCAGCAGCAGAAATGGAAAGTTTAGGAGGAAAGGGAGGTTTTGAGGAGAAGGTGATAGGTCAAGGTTTAGAAAACTGAAGTTGAGATTTAGGTTCCAATCTTGAGTGGGCGACTGGAAAGAGGAAGACATTAATTCTATAAGGTCCCAGCCTGGTACCTTGGCTGCCTCCCAAGCCACTCTCACACCCAGGGCTGCCCATGACCTGCTTGAACATCATGGGCCAGCCCGTGGGCCAAATACCATCGGATGCTCACCCCGGAATGAGCTCAGAGGGCTGCTCAATAATGATCCTCTAGAAGGCAATTTGGAACTATGCCCAAAGGGCTATAAAAATGTGCATACCCTTTGACCCAGCAATAGCACTTCCAGGGCTGTATCCCAGAGAGATCATAAAAATGGGAAAAGGACTCGCATGTACAAAAATATTCACAGCAGCTCTTTTTGTGGTGGCAAAGGATTGGAAATTGAGGGGATGCCCATCAACTGGGGAATGGCTGAGCAAGTTGTGGTATATGAATGTGATGGAATACTATTGTGTTAAAAGAAATGATGAAGAGGCTGACTTCAGAAAAACCTGGAAAGGCTTGTACGGTCTGATGCTGAGTGAAGTGGGCAGAGCCAGGAGAACATTGTACACAGTAACAGCCATCTTGTGCGATGACCAACTTTGATAGACTTAGCCCTTCTCAGCAATGCAAGGATCGAAGAAGACTCACGAGAGAAAATGTCATTCACATCCAGAGAAAGAACTATGGAGTCTGAATGCACATCGAAGTACATTATTTGCTCTTTTTGTTTTGTTTTGTTTTGTTTCTTCTTTCTTGTGGTTCCTCCTATTGGTTCTAATTCTTCTTTACAACATGACCAATGTGAAAATATGTTAAACAGGAATGTTTATGTAGAGCCTATATCAAACTGCATGCCATCTTGGGTTGGGAGGAGAAAATTTGGAACTCAAAATCTTGGAAGTGGAAGTGAACGTGGAAAACTAAAAATAAATAAATTCTAAAAAAAAATTATCCTTTATCAGTTAAGAGTTAATGGCTAGAAATACCAAACACTAATTAAGAGAGACTAGAAATGCAATTGTGTCAAGAGAGAAGGTAAAAACAATAAACCACAATAAACACTTTTTTCTGTCAAATTCAAATGTTGTAGAATCTCTTTGATTAGCACGGGAGGGTTAGAGATTTGGAAGGCCCTGGGTTATGAGGTAGAAAAACCACTCTGGAAAACCAATACAAAATTGGTTATCATTGATTATCATCTTAATTTTAACATCTTAATTTAACTTAAACAGTCGTGATTTTTTTTTCCAAACCAACCTGATAACATGGATCCCTCATGAGTAATCTCAGGCATATTAACACTCTCAGAAAATGAATAGATGGGGCCCGATTAACCCACTCTCTGAAAGAAAATAAACAACGTTGTAGATGTCAACCAAAGGCATCCTTGTGATGATTCATATAAAACACAGATTGAACAACAAGGAACAGTAATAAAAATAAGTATTTGCCTGGTTCATTCCAAGCTGACTCAAAAAATTATCATATGGTACTAAATAGGTGATTTTTAAATATACATCTATAATCTTATCATCTCTTCATTAGAAGGTATCTACACATAATAAATACCTATGCTAAGAGAGTCTAGTAGGAGGTAAGCTCCTTGAGGGTAGGGACTGCAGGGATTTTGTCTTTGAATTAAAGCACTAAGATCAGCATTTCCTAGTATGTGAATGTTTATTGAATTGAATCGAATCCACATCAGAAGCCTTATTTAGATTAAAAGTCACTAACAAATACTCATTGATCAATCAGTAGAAATAAGGAACCTACAACGTCTTTACTAAGCACAGGGAATTCTGCCATCTGCAAGCCCAGAACCCATCCACAACACGTCACCTTGGAGAAGGGCATCAGGAACAACAAAGCTTATAAATCCCAGGGTCTGGAGGCAGAAAGAGCCTGAGCTCTCACCTAGGCCAGCATCCTTACCTTAGGGACACTAGCTCATTGCTACGGCACCCAGATGCTAGGAAAGCTCTCCACCTACATTTCTTCCCTGGACCCTCACAAACCCTGTGACATAGATACCACAGGTATTATTATCTCCATTTTACAGATGAGAAAACCGAGGCTCAGAGAATCGAGTGGTTTAGCCAAGGTCACACAACGGCTCAAATCCAAATCTCTTTCTTCTCGCCCACACTTACAAACAAAGGAAGCAAGGCCCAGAGAGATGAAGCAGCCTGCCCCTGGTCACACACACAGTGAGCAGCACCCGGAGACTGTCTGGTTGGTCAAGGAGGAGAACTCCCGCCTCCTGATACCGAGTCCAGCACGCTAGCCCATCAATCAATATCGGAAGGGGATGTTCATTTTGACTGACTTTCTGATATTCTACAATATCAATAATGACAGCTGAAATCTCTAAGGCCCTTTCAGGTTTGCAAAGCATTTTATAGACAGCGTCTCATTTGGTCATCCAAACTATTTTGTGAGGAGGATGGGATAAGTTCATAGATGTCAAGCTAGAAGGGACCTCAAAGGCCATCCAGACCAACCATCTCACTTTATAGATGAGAAAACTAAGGTCCAGGAAAGACCAAATGATTTGCCCAGGGCACACAGGTAGAACTGTCAGAGGCTGAACTTGAACCCAGGTCCTCTGACACCTGGGCAATGAGGTGGCACAGTGAATAGAGTGCCAGGCCTACAGTCAGGAAGACTCATCCAGCCTCAGACACTTGCTAGCTATATGACTCTGGGCAAGTCACTTAACCTTGTTTGCCTCAGTTTCCTCATCTGTAAAATGAACAGGAGAAGGAAATGGAAAACCACTTCAGTATCTTTGCCAAGAAAACTCCAAATGGGGTCATGACAAGTTGGACATGAATGAAACGACTGAACAACAAAACCTCTGACACCAGAACCAATGCCTTCTCCTTCCCCCAATTATATTAGCCTTGTTTTAAAGGGAAGGAAACTGAGAATCAGAGAGGTCATGTGCCTTGCCCATGACCGTACTGCTAGTAAGTGTTGAAGGCAGGATCTGAACCCAGGTCTTCCTGCCCAGCATTCCATCCTTCACACCTGTTGCTGCCTTAAGAAGGGGCTACACATTGCTGTTCCATTATTATCATGGCAGATATGGTGTCCATATTCACATCATTCTCTCTACCTCTCTTCCCATGTTCCACTGTACCAACCTTCCCCAAGAGGACGAGGAAACTGGTTCTGGCACAGGTAAGAGTCACACAATGCCCAGCTCTTCTCTGCCATGTCACAAGTAGGGGCCGTCGCTACCGCCGATATCCCCTGCCCCTCTGAGACAGGCTCCTTTTCCTCACAGACTCCCCCCTGACCACAGCCATGGCCACCAGTATCACCCAATCTATTCCATCTACTCCAATAGAGCTCAGGCCTTGGGGGACCCCAAGGGCAGGCTGGTAATCCAGAGGGGAGTGATTCTGGTTGCTGAAAGGATGATAATTCTTTGATCTTTGTACACACTCATTTTATTTGGAAAAATACTGCATATGTGAATACATTTTTAAATGCCTGAGTCATCTATGGTCAAACCTTTGAGCTGGCCTGCATTTATGATGAGAGTCACAGAAGTAAATCTTTTCATCTTTATAAACAGTGACAAATCTCTATTCCGGGGGCCAGTTTAGCTAAAGATACCATACAAAACATAGCCAAGACACTACACACACCGGAGACAGAAGATTCTCAAGTGTTAACAGCTGCTAGTGACAAAATGAGGCTTCACTGCTGAGATGATTTTTCATTATTTGAGAAAGTTATGGAATATTTTAAGAGATGATTCACTCTGAAAACACGTGTGCACTTGGTACTTTTCCCTTTCAATATATGGAATTTTGTGATGAAAAACATACTAGCACATAAATTCCACAACCCTTTCAGTATTTTGAACATCAGAATGAATGTGAAAGGGATGGATTTTTTCCTGTTTCTAAAAACAAGAACCCCAAATGAATTTTCATTATTAGAAAGAGATGGATAAATGAACAGTGTTCCAGGAAGAGAGTCTGTGATTAAAGCTCTGCTGCAACAAATAGCTTTTTGTTGTTGTTTTTAAACTTTGGGAATGGAGCCCATGGCTATTAATATTTTGGTGAAGTTACAGGCTGTGCCATTGTCAATGTAAATAGAATTCCTGAAGTCAGAGCCCTCTGCGCTGACTTCTCCATGCACTAACCTCTGGCATGAGCCCTGGGTCCTTGGCTCCCAATCTTTAGCTCCCCACAAGGAAGTGGCATTTAAGACGGTGTTTTGGCAATTAAGGAGAGCTATGTATTCTGTAAAATGATACACACATCTGACTGCCAGGGATTTGTGGAACTCACGAGGTTGCAACTGAGCACACGGGAAAAAGAGAATCAGAGAACCGTAGCACAGAAAGGGGCTTAAGATTGAGGCCAGCGGCTCCTAATGTGGGATACACAGACCACCAGGCTCCATAGATAGGCCAGATCAGCTTGGCCAGGGGTTTCTCATCCGGGGGGTCCCATGGACAGATCTGAGCTTGGAACTTTTCATATTTGGATAATGATATTTCCATAACTTGGTTTCCTTTGTACTTTAACCTACATACTCTATTTGATGCATTTAAAAACTCACAAGGTTGGTCCATGCGCTTTGCTAGGCTGCCAAAGAGGGAGTCCATGACGCAAAGGAGGCAAGTGAATGAGCCCTGATCTGTTCTAACGCCTTCATTTCACAGACGAGGTGACAAGATGGGTCTGAGCTTACGGAGGCTCTAGACCTGGAAGGAATCTGGGGGTTGGTCCAGCCCAAGCCCTTCCTTTCCCAGATGAGGAGTCAGGGACAGCTGGCACCCAGTGTCCCATCTCCTGGCGTCAGGATCACTCCATTCACCTACACATTACCTCAATGCCAGAAGGAAAGGAGAGAGAGAATATTTAGCCACATTTGCTGCAGATACATGTCAGAGGGCCTCATCATTAGTCACAGCGGTCACAGGGGCAAAGAGCTCCAGAACGACCTTCCACTAAATTAAAGAGGAGCTGCAATCCGCATTGGTGAAGGGAGCAGTCACACCAACAACATCACTGATTGCTAAAGTATTTAAATACGGCAGCATTAAAGTGCTTAGGCCAGTTCCTGGTGGTGGTGATGCTTTTCTCAGAGGCAACTCTGAAAAACTGGCCTTCCTCAAGGACAACAATTCTCCAGAGGCCAGTCTCAAAATAGCAGCAATGAATTCATAAGAGGGCAAACATCCTCCTTGTAACTGAGCATACGGTTTTCACAGGACTATTAATAACATTATCAACTTTCTTACCTTTGTCTTTAACCACAGCCCTGGTCTTTTAAAATGAAATGTTGCACTATACCAACATACAAGGTATAAGAAAAGAACTATGTCTCGCTAAACAGTCAACATTTGGAAAGAAAGCACAACATCTGTTCTTGCTCATAACGGCAGAGGGAAAGAAGCTGAATCATGACAATTATTTTCCTAAGTAATAATGTGGTTCAGTATTTTGTCAATCCATGATTTCCTGGTACGGTTTGTTTCTCCACAAACACATTCTCAACTCCTCCACACCTGAGCAGACAGTCTTGAAAAGATGCTAGGGCAAAATAAAAAAGATGACGAGTCGTCTGACTGACCTCAGCTCAGGTCCCATCTCATCTCGGCAGAACCCCTCAGTTCACCGGGGGAGAAGCCGTAGCCTCCTGGGTAGGGCACACCATGACAATACTACAACGGTATCAGCAAATCCCGACTGAGAAGAGGAGGAGGCTACCAGACAGCCTCAAAGGCCCTGCACTGAACCCGTGTGTGGTCAGGAGATCACGGTTTGTGGATGCAATTCAATTCCACAAGGGTTGATTAAGTGACCACTACATGCCAGGCTGTGAGGGCTACAAGGCAAAAGGAAAAGCATCCTTGTCCTCAAAGACAGGAAACAGCCTGCACACAGACAAGCAAATATAAGGTGAAGGAACAAGGAGAGGGGCTGGACCTGGCACCTCAGTGGTCAGTCAGTCAAGAGAGTTTATTAAGTGTGCCTGGCACCGTGCAAGCCCTGTGGCTACAAAGAAAGGCAAAGGTCAGCCCCTGCCCTCCAGGAGCTCACAACCTAGTGGGAGAGACAACATGGAGACAACTATGTAAAACCAGAGAAATGTCAGACACACTAGACGGCAACTCCCTCTTATCAAAGCAGGCCAGCAATTGCTCCGCAAATTATAATCTCAGAAAGCTTGACCTAGAACACCAAACAGTGACACGTACATGACCCTTAATCTGCCTGGTTTCAGGGCCATAGCTGCCACAACAAGCAAATTCAAAGTATATGGAAATAATTACAAAAGGAAGGAACGCTCACCAAGGGGAACAGAAGGAAA